AAGGACTTGTCATTTTATCCCATGATTTTTGAGCTTACTTAGGAGCCTTTGATGAGGAACTTTATCAAAAGCTTTCTGAAAGTCAAGGTAAACAATATCTATTGGATCCCCCTTGTCCACATGTTTGTTCACCCCCTCAAAGAACACTAACAGGTTAGTGAGAAGATCTTCCCTTACAGAACCCATGCTGAGTCTGCCTCAATAGGTTTTGTTCATCTATGTGCCTACTAATTCTTTCCTTAGTAATGGTTTCCACCAATTTACCCCGTATCGACGTCAGACTGACTGGCCTGTAATTTTCCGGATCTCCTCTGGAACCCTTTTTAAAGATGGGAGTGACATTATCTTGGGTTTTGTAGTGGATCTTGGGGTTGTAGTGGATAGTTCAATTAAAATTTTTAGTAACTGGCAGCAGTGAAAGAGGCAAATTCCATGCTGGGGATTACCTGGAAAGCAGCTGAAAATAGAATAGTAAATATTGCAATGCCTTTGCATACCTCTGAGGTGAGACCTCAGCTGGAGTATTATGTGTGGTTCAGGTTATGGATAACTGCTAGACATCTGGGGCTCTGAGCAGAGCCAGCTGAGGCACTGCAGTCACAAGGAAATGTCAGGGCCTTGGACTCAGCTGAGATGCTGCTCCTCCCCTTGGGGGAAACCAGTAATCAGCATCCCTCAGCCAAGTTCTCATTGGGGAAGGGAAGCGTAAGGGGCACACTGTGGTTGCTAATATAGGTTTTGGGATGCACAACAAGCATGTCATAAGTTGTACACCCATGTGATAACCTGTGCATGTCTAGGCTTAGGTGAAGAGAAAGCTACTCATCTATCCCTAGAACAAAGCTGTGTTGTGCTATTCATTGGGAGCAGGGAGACTCCCAATTTTAATGTTTTCTCGTTCCCTAGCCCCATCTTACAACTCTTTTCCTGAGCTGTTTTGAGAAAGTAACATAAGTTTATATAAATAAGGTTTGCTCTTTTCACTCTTACTGGAAGTCTATTTATTGCAATGAAAATAACTTCAAATACCTCTGTCCTGAACATTACAGGAATGCCCTTCCCCCATATTATTTCACTCCCAAGTCTACTCAGGTTATCACACGAAATCCAAGCATTCGGCCAACTGAGGTTAGGAACAAGTTTCTTATTTCAGAAGATCTGAGAAGAAGCTAGCTATCAGACTTTGCAATTAGATGTACTGGCTGAGAACATGACTGCTTTTAGAAACAATATTTTGTTTCATTTCCGCTTTTTGTTTTATTGGTCATTTTGGGACAATGTTTTAGCACTTCTTAAGCTATTCAGATCTGTACTAATTGTGCTGTTTGTTCCTGTATATTATAATTTTGATGTAGATTAATGTGCTAATGTTGGAGCTTCAAGGATTCTATCACTAGATACATCAGAAATATTATCAGAATACTTTATTTCATTTTCAAATATTTAGAAAGGAGGAACATTGTATAGATTTAATAGATTTAGTATAGGCCAGCATTGCTCAAACAGAGCACATGATATTACAACATCACAAATTATGGTTGCTAGGCCTTTGCTTGAAAAAAATGTATATTTCTTGCTGTCAACATAACTGAAAATTCAGGTATACTGTTTAGGCCACAACCTTTGTTCCCATATTTATACAGAACACATATAGCAGTATTATTGGTATTAACCATGACATCAAGGTGAAGGATGTCATAGGTTTTTTTTCTTGTGTTCTTCCTGTCTATAAAATGTCCCACTAACTGTTCGCTAACTAAATTTAGGCTAACAAAAAAGTATGAACTGCCACCTAAATTTCCCCCCATTTCTTTTTTATGCTATTTAGAAAGCTATTCATTCTCTCCTGAAGAATGCATTCAGTTCCTAATTATTCTCACCGAACACATTTCAGAACTGGAACCAATGCTACTTCTTCCATTTCAGTTACTAACATTTTCATATAACAGCTGATCAATACAGATGCTAGTAATTCTTCACCACAAACTCAATCAAATAATGCAGTTTCTTGAACAAACAAAACAGGTTATACTCCATAAGCAAACAAAGCAACAACAAGTAACCTTGATATCTTATGTAGCAACTGTAAATGCCATGACAAACTCCTATATCCAATTCATAACGAACCTTGTAGGAAGAGTACAACATCCATCAGCTGTCAGCCTGACTTGGGTTTCATAGCTATCCAAGGGGCAAACAACTTGCTGGACAGGAGGACACTCTACTGTACTGCAGTCTACGCTGAAAACTGTTAGGGGGGAAATTAGACAAAAATACTTAAGATTAATTTTTTTACAAAGCATGACAATAAAGTACCTTCTTATTTTAGTAACCAACACAGAATTATTTTAAATCTAGACAGGCACCTATGCCAAACAGTGTCAAAACCTGTCTGAGAGCCTATTCCCAAAACATATAAAAACATACATTAAAAAATCTCCTCCCCTACATCAAACAACAGTTTCAAAACCTGTATGAGAGCTTATTCCAAAACATACATAAAATAATCTTCTTTTCTTGCCCCCAGTGTGGGTATCATATATAACTTAACATCAAATAAAGCTCCAAAGTGTTCCAGTTCTTAAGCGTTGATGCGTTTAGGTGAGAGAATGCCTACAGAGTGAGGCTACACGCATTCATCATGAATAAAGACAAATAAGGCAGTTTGGAGACATTATTCTGAGGGAGTTCCCGTTGCTGCAAAATAAGGCCGTTTGGAGGCACTACTTTCGGGGAGAACCTGTTGCTGTGCAGTCCTGATGAAGAGATGGATAACCCATTGGACAATCTGGAGAGTGGGTTGACTGCAGCTCATCATTTATTGTATTGGAATTGTGAAGTCTATTCTGGGATTGTAAAGTTTCCTTCAAATTCTTAACCTGTCTGTGTACTAATTATTTTGCATAGTATATTTAAATAATAAGAACAGCTTAAGAACTGGAACACTTTGAAGCTTTATTTGATGTTAAGTTATATATGGTTTACACTAATTCATCAATTTCCCAGTGTGGGTATAGCAACAAGAATATGCTTGCCCCAAGCATGCTGCTTTTCTATGTATGCATGCACATGTCAATATCCCATATACATTTTAATACCAATAGTGTAAATAGGTACATATAATTCAAAAGCTACATTTTGATGGGTAAAGATCACATATTCCTGGCACATGCTGTATTTATTCATTATGCTTACTATAGGAACAAGACACATACAGAGTTGGGGCAGGTCCTGGAGCACTAACATAACCATGATCATGAATTAGTACTAGTAATTAAAGTGGCTGGCAGCAAAACCAGGCTACCCATAAACTAGGTAGGCGTCTACATATCTGGGGCACTCTCCAGGTATGCAGCAAAATTATAACTTTGAAGAATAACCAAAAAGAAAAGTCCTCTCCCATTCAAAAAAACCTGGCCTGATGAGGACCTAATATATCCCAGGTAGCATGATATGTTGAGAGCTGCTGAAATTCAGTTAAAGGGAGCAGGACTGGCCTGCCCCGAAATATTGAGAAGTCACAGAACACTGGATGGGGAGATCCTGGGGTGGAATAAGGGAAACATTTCTTTATTGAAGTATTTATATCCCACTTGTCTCCCCAAAAGGACCCAAAGCAGTTCACAACCACCACCAACATACATAAACCGACCAAACAAAAGAAAATATGTTTTAGGCTGGTCAGAATTTGATAGCTGGTTCCTCCAAGGCAGCTGCAAAATAGGCTTGCAAGTCCCCAAACAGATATCCCTGTGTGACATTGGAGACACAATGATGTCACTTCTAGAAGTGATATAAATTTATTGGCGACGGTGTTCTACTTCTTGGGCAAAACTCTATAGTTTGTAGCCATTTTTACCACAGTTTCACCCCAAAAGTAGAGTGTCACCCCTGCTGGCACCAACATGATGTCACTTCTGGAAGTGGCATCACTGTGTCACTGACATCCCGGCCCACACCTAGAATATCTCCCAAATCCCCCACTGGCATGAGGTAGGCAGCTGGGAACCCTAGCGCAAAACATGTGCTAAGAGCCAAAAGGCCCAAGGCCTTGCCTTGCATCTTTGGCCACACCCAACTTTATCCCCAGATATAAACTCTATAAAAAGGTCAGAGAAGGATGCACAGGGCATTTCTTCCATCTGTCAGAGAACACAGTCAAAACAAGTTACAAAACATATGTGGAACAATCTTTCCATTAAATTGCTGTGGATAGAAATGCCAGACCAACCAGATATTTAAAACTAGGGACATACTAATGCCTACCTGATCAGAACACTGAGAATGATGAATAGCTTCCCTTACAGGATTTTGTAAGCTTTTAAGGGCTCGAGCAGGCCCCTCATATTTTCTGTTCCTTTAATTGACATTCAAGAGGTTCTCAACATTTTGTTCATTCTTTACCTGGCCATTTTTAAAGGGTTTTCTTCTTGGTGCTTTTATTTCTTATCTTTTGATTATCAACTCATGTTTTCTGCATACCTAAGGAATCCTCTGGGAGAGAAATTGGCACGGCATAGCCTGATCTTGTCAGCTCTCAGAAGCTAAAACAGGTAGACCACCAAGGACAACTTTGCAGAGGAAAGCAACGGCAAACCACTTCTGCTTTTCAGATTGCCTTGAGTGCCGTTTGCTGGGGTCACCATAAGTCAGCTGGGAGCTGATGGTACTTTACATATATGCAAGTGACAGATGAGCAAACCAACCGTGCAGTGTAGGACCACCTTTCTTAAGCTCAGAGCCATTTCTGAGCCATTCTATACGCCTTAGCTGGGCCTTTCTATTGTCTGAAGCACAGCCATGTTAAGAAACATGCAATACGAGTGTCTTATTGTATTGTATCCTTTACACCAAGCAAGAGATAGCTAGGGGACTGGCTTATCGAGCCTGAAGGTCATCCATTAGTTACAAGCCACCGGAAACCTGTCCCGCAGAGCAAGCTGTGCCAAAAGGTGAAAGAAGACCTAGAAGGGTCTGTTCAGTTCTATCCTCCTGAAACACCTGCAACACACTGCACATGCTCACCATGCCTAGGGTGATGCAATATAGGCATTGGGAGGTTGGTTTGGTCACCCCATAAAAGGCAGCGCCTTAGAGCAGCACAGGGTCATCATCATCTCATTGACCCTCTCCCCATGGGGGGGGGAGCTACTGCCAGCATCTGGAAAACCCAGGCACCAAGGAGTGCTCCATAAGGACAGGTGTACCTAGCTTTTTCTCTGTGTGTGTTTCTCTGTGGCAGACACTTCCCTGCCTCAGGGGAGTACAGGCGGCTCCCTTGGGAAGTGAGTTGGTCCCTTGCCTCTTGAGGAGACAGGAGATTTGCTTCAGTGCTTCATAAACTATGCTTCAACCATGAATTTGTCTCTGTGTTTACTGGGCAGAAAAGGTCAGTGGGAATCTCTTCAACAGTGCTTGATCCTGCCCTCTCCTGTGAGCGAGAACTGGCCCCATCACCACAACAGAGGCTGCTGCAAGCAAATTCCTCGAGTTACAGTGTTAACTAGTGGGACAACCCGTTGCAGACCACCGCAGCAAGGTAGGACAGCTTCAAGAAAACACTAAAAAAAACAGAATTCCCCATTTTGATGGAGAAAGCTCTTTCCACCTAACACAGGTAATCCCCCAAGTACATACAGATCCCCACCTTCTCTGCGAGGGACCTGGTTTTGCTGCTTTCACCATCTACATGGCATCCAGCCAATGTACTATTAGATGATATGGAAAGTTGGCCCAAAGTTCAGCATGGTCACATCTGACTTCTAAAAATGAGAATATTAGTCAAAGGGAAGTCAAAAAGGACAGTAAAAAAGATCAAATCTCTTCTGGATGTTTGGAAACTATTTAAGTCTGAAGCTCAGAATGCATACGATAAATTAGGAAAGTTAACACCTAGGTAATATTTTAAGACTGCTGATTCTTTCAGTGTCATTGCCCATTCTGGTACCATTTCAATTTGTAAAGTTTTGAAGCTAACACAACAGGCTTTTTGACTAACAAACTGCAGGATTTTTTTTTAATGAATTAAGTATGGTTTCCACTTTTCAGTTTCTGGCTGTCTGCTATACATAACATATTTCATTACAAAGTTGAGACTAGCTATACCCTTGCTCTTTAAAGATCCCACCATGAAGTTGCTCTCAGCCTTTTTTGTTTTCATTTGCAAGATTTGCCGGGTTGTGCTGACTAACCCTAGAAGGTGTGGTAACAAATGAAAGCTTTGTATTACTTGCATCACTTTTCTTTGCATGTGCATTACATCAACTTTGTACAACTGTATGGCAGGGAAGAATTTATATGAGGCAGGCATTTTATATCGTGTTCTCTTCACTAAGATAGTTTTCACCACTACAGTACTAAGGAACCTTCACTCCACTGTTGTCAGGAACTAGATGGAGCATATTACTCCTATTCTGCAGTGATTCCACTGAATTCCCAGAATGGGGCTGAGTGTGGTAACATAACAATGCAATAACAAAGCCATAATTTCAATAAAAAACAACCACAATTAAAACTCAACACTCATCTTTTGGCATAAAAATCCACAGTGTTGTTGGTAGAGTCCACTAGAATTACATTACTTGAATGCCTGGTGGAATAACTCTGTCTTACATGCCCTGTGGAATGCAGACAAGTCCAGTATAGCACAAGTCTCCTCAGACAGAGCATTCCACCAGGTCAGTGCCATGATGAAAAAGACCCTTGTACCATGCTGCACTCAAATGGGCAAATCGAGGGCCAGGCACAAGTAAAAGTCCACATGCGACCACACAAAGAAACTGTGGGGTGTCATAACAGGAGAGGCGGTCCTTTAAGTATGATGGTCCCAGACTGTTTAGGGCTTTAAAGATTAATACCAGCACCTTGAATTTGACCCAAAACCAACTGGAAGCCTGTGCAGTTGCCACAAAATGGACTGGATGTGTGCAAGCCATGGTGAATTGGTCAACAGCCTAAAAGATGCATTCTGAACAACCTGAAGGTTCTGAAAAGCCTTTAAGGGCAGCCCTGTACAGAATGAATTGCAGTAATCAAGTCTGGAAGTGACTGTTGCACAAATCACTGTAGCGAGGTCAGACCTGGATAAGTAGGGGAACAACAAGAAGGCCTGGTAGGGATAGTAAAAAGCCTGTTTCACCACTGAGGTCACCTGCTTGTCCAAGGTAACCGAGGAAACCAGCCAGACCCCCAAATTCTTCACAGAGCCTACTGGAACAAATTAGATACCACCCAGAGTAGGCAGCTGCAATCCCCCCCACCCCCCG